ATGCAAATGTGGAAGGTGTTAGAGGAGATCGACATGTTTTTTGCTTCAAAGCAAAGCGATTTCTTTAATCAGGGCATTAACAACCTGATTGTAAGATGGAAAAACATCATCGATACGAACGGGGACTATTTCATTTATAAATGGTTTGATATTCAAATTGTTTGGGTTTTTTCATTTAAAAAAAGCGACATTATTTTGTTGATGAGCTAATACTTAATTAGGTACTATTATGTTAAGTAAAGTATTTGTTTTTACAAACACACCTTCTGTTGATATTACTACAATGATTTTATTTACAAATTAAACTACATATACAACAATTGTTCAAATCTATATGGAAAAAAATTATAATACACAATGTGAAGATTTCTGGCATTTTTCTTCTACTTTTGGACAAAATACACCATGACGAACAGTTACAAATCTTATGTAAAAACTAGTTCTGCACTAAGTTACAAATGACAATATAAATAATTTTCACATTTTATCATGATTCGCATAATATATATAAATAAATTTTATGATATTCCAACCACAAAGCCTCACCAATACATGCATAAAAATGTAGAACATAAGTGCTAGATTAATGAAAATATTATTATGTTGGCTAAGCCTTGAAATGTATGAGGTATCAAACATTTATCGTAAAGAAAAGTGAAATTTTATTAATTTTAAGACCTCGCATAATACTGGTAACTTCAAGTTTTTTCTGAAATACTATTAATTTTGGGGCCAAAAGTAATATCAAACATTTAATCTAAAGGTTTTAGAGCCACCTTAAAAAATTTTCACACATAAAGGAGATTTGCATCTTTTAATTATCAACAAAACCATTTGGGCGAGTTGAACATTTCCAAGTATCAGAATTTAATTTTGTTGCTAACCTAAAAAATTTAAAAGACTAGTATCAATCTACACCGTTAGAGATTTAACAATTATACAAAATTTTGTTAATTAAATGATTGTGGCTTTTGTTCTAGCCATTTTGTGAGCAACCCACAAAATTCTGAAAATAATGTAAGTGACAAAGAAATACTTCTAAGTGTAAACTCTGAAAGAAAAGCTATGGAACATGGTAAAAATACAATAAACAAATGCTAGAATGTACTAGTAGCTCACTTCCATTTCTTAGCTGCTGAAATTTTCTTTTTTCACAAGAATCTGTATCTTTTTTACCATCAAGATACCTGAATTTCCAAAATTTGGTTCATTTTAATCTTCAACACCTTAGTTCACTATCAGCGTTCACAAAAAAAAAACCAAAAAACTTGAATTTCATAAAGCATTAAAATAACAGTTATATATTGCACTACAAATAACAGCTGTGTAAAGAACGTCCTTTATCCCAAGGAGTTAAGTTTGAAACACAACATTTGTTAAAAATAATGTAAAGTTATTAACACTAAAGAACACTCTGTATCACAAAGACGTTTGTTATAAAATATCTAAGACAATGTAGGTCTCCAAATTTCACTGGCTATTTGAAAAAAGAAACAAAAATAATTTGTTCGTATTAAGAGAAAATTATCAGACAGCTCATAATTTTTGGGTGCTTGAAATTCTGTTGTACCCCACAACTGGCTTGTAGTGACAGCTCAAAATTGTCATTGTAAACAAGTAACTACTGCTAAACAATTACTCATAGAAAAAAAAATAGTCATCCTAATTAAAAATTAAAAAGTTAAAATAATTACAGAGAAAATATAAAGTTCACCTTACAAGTTATCACCTCATGAAAAATTGACAAAATACCAGCAAAAATAATTTACGAAAACATTCCCGATTATAAAAAATATTTTGGCAGGCCAAAATCATGATGTTTACTAATCAATTTAAATTAAAACTTGTGAACTTCAAAGATGTTAAAGTTTCATACCTTTATATCCTCTCACCTTAATCTAAAATTCAAACTGTGAGATTTTATTAATGTTTGTGCTTGTATTACTATTGTAACTACACCAGTGCTAAACAATTAACAAAAATTTAACAACATATAAAATCATAAACAACAATAGTTCATGGAAAGTAGTCATTATAAAAGATTGAAGATATATTAACTGAGCTAAAAAGATAAATACACACCATGAGTAAACTATAGTACCTTTCAAACCTTTCTCGTCAGTCAGGGCCTAGGATATTCCTATCAAAAAACCTCATAACATGTGAATAAAACAGCTTTTAATATTTTGTAAAAAATCTCAAGTAGTGCACATGCTCTTTGCTTCAATTCAGAATACCAATTGAGACTTTTTAAGTTGTACTTTCTTACACTTCAGAACTACCTCCTCCAATATGTGAAGAAATTTTAATGCCAAAGATTAGTATACTTAGGTGTAACAATGTATTGCAAATCAACAATACAACCTTCACCTAATATTATTACACAGTAAAAACCACTGATCAGTTAATTATATGAACTTTATTCTGTCTGGTAAATTTTAAAATGTGTTATTCTTAATAAGTCAAACGAATGTTGACACAATTTAATGAAAATACATTAAATCATCATAAACAAATTCACTGAACTTGTAAACCAGCAAAATTTCAGGTTTATGCCAATACCTTTTGGGGATGAAGCTTTAAAAAAATATTTTGAATAGATTTTAATAAAACATTACATAAATGCTTAATTTAAATTTTAGACCTAATATATTAAAAAATAAAGAATATGTATTTGAAAGACAGATATCATTACGATTTACCCTCTCTCTCTCTCTTTTGGAATACGATTTTCTAAATATCTTGTACATCTATATCAGAATCAAGTAACAAAAAACACAAAAAACTGATAATAGCATGGAAGTTTTAGCATGCTTCTTTCAATGGAAAGAATGCAAGTTTTCCCTATTTTTTAGGATGAAATGACTTATGCACATGTTAAACAACATATTTTTTTCTTCAAGTGTTTTGAAGAAAATTAACAAAATGTACAGCAGTGATGCTCCTCTTTATGAGTACTCTATTCTTCATATTTTTTATCAGTGTATTAAATTAACAAACAATTTTTATAGAAATGTTTAGAAGCAATCACGCACATTTTCTAAGTATAACTATTTTGTTTTTTCAATAATGCCCACATATTATTATTGAATATCATTGTGTCACACAGATACATCTAACAGGCTAACAATTTGAAATACCTGTAATAAATAAACTGAAATATTACCACAACTTAAAGCTATAATTCCTCGTTTTATTATGATGTTGCCTCAGTAAAAACGACTTGTATGTAAATGGTGAAAGCTCATAGAATGTCTTGCCCAAGAATTTTTCAAACAATACGTGGGAATTTCTATTTTTCATTCAGCCAACACTCTTCTAAAGTACGACGTATGAATTATTTTAAATATTCAGTAGAATAAGCAACTTTAAACATGTATCTATGCAAGAATTTGATCTTTATGATTCTGTACATAATAAATAAATATAAATATAAAAAACAATTACAAAAACATTCTTTGATCAGTTTTGGGGGAAGTTTAATTTTATCTGTTACTGTTATTTAGGAATTTATTAAATGTTTCAACTTTCAAAACTACTTTGGTTTGAACACTGCCTCAAACAAAAGCACTTCTGATTTTAATAGTTCACATCTTAAAACTCTGACAAGGAAACAAAAACAAATGTTTTATTGTAGATGTCATTTTGATGCCAAATCAATAAAACGTTTAATTTCAGATATTAACTATCTAACTTAGAGTCAGTACAAATGACTTTGAGACATATATAACTTTAGATACATGTAATAAGTACTCCATGCACTCAATAAAACAAATAAATAACAATCAATATTTATATAGGCAAATGTTTCATAGAGGCTAATTTTAGGTCATAAGTTTGTTTTCTATAATTTGATCATCATAATTAAACCAATTTATAAGATACATCTACACTCTTCTTTATTAAGGAAAAACATTTTATTTTCCACACATAGATTTAGAATAATACGTACCAATAATTCTGTAATGAATATCTTTTGTTTTTTTTACATAGATTATTTTTCACAGTTATTCTTGGAGTGGCCTGAACGAGAGTGAGGAGACACAGGCAAGAAATCTCAATTCAGAATTTGAACACCATGCTTATCTTTCTCACTGGTTTCTGGGTTTCATAAAAAAAACATTAATCACCCTTCTTCTTGTAAAATTGTTTTTAGTAAAGCAATCACGTTCTGAAGCCCAAAAAGGTATCCTTCATCAGGTCCTTCATGAAGTCTACGATCACTTGGGAGTTCACAATGGGTGGAATGTGCAAAATCAATCATACGCACATCAATAGGACACATAGTTTTTCTCTCCCATGGAAGGGAAGAAGAAAGAGTTTGAGTGATGTCTGTATAACAACTATCTAATGGTCTGCCCCAAGCTCCCAAATTTTCTCTAGTTTTAAGTGACCTTTCACACTCACTGAAATCATCGTTCAAGTAGTCATTGCCATTACCTTGGATTTGGTCATGAACCACTCTACCTGCATCTTGGTTCCCATTCCAGGAAGTGACATCCCGAGTTTCTTTGCCATCATAAATAACAAGAAGAGAACTAGTGTAAAAGCGGAATGTGTCAAGATGCTCGATAACGGTGTATAATTTATCTAAACGATCTAGTAATAAGGGAATGACATCCAAACGGACATGCTGACCATTATGAAGAAACCTGCGGAAAGCTTGTTTAAATCCATCCACTGTCAAGCTCCTGCCATAATATTTGTTGTGACAAAGAAACCGGCCTGAACTCAACTGATAAACCTGAATAAGACAGTTCCACAAAAAACTTCAAAGATGGAAAAGGAAAACTATAATATCTATTTGAACCAAACACTACCAAGTTAGAATATGTATAGTTGTTCTTGTTAGAAAAATTCTTGTGATTGTAAATACAAGAATAAATTATAGATGAAATTACATTTTACAGCTACTTTGGGTACCAAACTTAGGAAAGTTTCTTGTAGACAATTCACATAATAACCAGCAAAAGATATTGCTCAGATCACTAGATGTCCTGCTAGGCAATATTTAGGTGCTTTATGCTAAATTTTATATGTATTATCTTAACTAATACATTTTTAAAATACTAAAACTGACTTATCTGTATTACTGACAAATCAAAGATTAAAACTATTATGAACACATTTGAAAGAGCATACTGAAACAGCCAATATTACTAAGAATAATTAGAATTTAGTGTAACGTGATTTTCTATTAAACAAGTACATTTTAACTTATGAAAAATTATTTTCCATTGTACAGAAGCAAGTATAATAGCTACACATGTCTATCAATATTGTTTCTTGTTCAAATTATTTTATGCAAGACAAAAATTAGACATCACTACTGATGTTCAAACTATATTTCTTTATAACTTGGTTAGGAAACTATTTAAAAGCTAATATATCTAATTAAATATCTAAACTTTAATTGAACTATTATAAATATTCTCATAATTTATTCAATATGCTTCTAAGAACTCAATTTCATATAACAAAACTGCTTGTTATTATTACAAACTTAAATTGCTTATCTACAAGCTAACAACAGTAAGAAGAATAACAAAAAAAACAGAGTAAATTTTGGTTAGAAAACAATTAGGAACTAGAATGTTGGGACGTTTCACCCTATTATTACTGACATGGATCTCCATCAGCTTTTTAAATTATTTATACATGAATTGTTTGTATGTCCTTGAGCTTATTGATTACAGCGTGTCTCTTAACATATGAGGCAAATAAATAACATTTAAACAAAATAATATTAAATATTAACTCTTATTATAATTAATCCCACTAAATACTGCTAGTCTACTGTGTACTTTACATAAAAAGAAAGTGATTTCATCCTCTTTTTTTGGGCAATTCTTCACAAAAGCACAAGATGATACAAAATGTGGATCCTACACATAGTGAATAGTATTAATAATAATAAAATATTAAAAAAAATGGATGATTTTAGGGATAAGGGTCAATTTAATTAAAATCTAAAGTTTCAGTTTTACTATAGATGTGTGTTAAAAACTTTTATTCATGGAATAGAATATTGATTGGATTTTATCAATATAAAAGTGTGCCTCAAACAGTGTTGATTCAGAAAAATCTGAATGAAAAAAAAAAAGCATTAACACCATAAAAGGATTGTGAACTGTATCTATGAATTTGGTACCATGATTTAGTCTATTTCAATACCTTTAACCATTTTAATAATTTCCAATACACTACAGAATGAATAGGAGAGATATTTCTTCAGAGTAAGTAATGAAATTATTTTTGTCAACTTGAAAGATACTACAATTCCTATAAGAATGTCTATAGAATATTTGCCATACGACAATATCTATACCTACTTGCATGCCACAAATTCTGACACCCAGACTTCCTGATGTAGAGAGAGCAACTTTGGCTTCATGGCTTTTCTGCTTAGCAAGTGAGGCATCATCTCCATGTTGTCTAGTACCCATCTTTAGATCCAATATACAAGGGTATTTAAACCTACTTGTCAGGTTCTCCAACAGAATGAATTCTGAAGAATGATATGTTGTAAGTAAAATGCTCAAAACTTAAATAGATTATAAGTTTGGTTTTTCATGTATTTTGGAAAAGGCTGTTGGTAGGAAAAAAAGACATGAATATGACTTTCTGATTAATATTGGGTATTTGTATAACCTTTGTTTCTAGCTTAAAGTTGTAAGTGTAAATTGAAATGTTCCTAAGATTCTAAGTCATTATTTTTACCAAACATTTTCATGACAATATCAGAACTTGAGCACTTTTTTTTATGGTAAAATTCATTTGGGTCAATGCTGTAAACCACAAAATAAAAGCAATAAGTTTTTCTATAATAATAATAATAAAAAAATTATTACTTTGCATACAAGTGTGAAGTGTAAGTGAAGAGCATGAAGGTAAAAAATTAAATCAATTCATTGACTTGTGTACAACTGTACAGTTAAGTGAAGAGTGTAAGTTAAAAAACAAAAATAGATT